GCAAATGGGCTGGCATGTTTCAAAGGCTGGGAACAGTTTCTATTAATACTTGGGTCCCTATATAGACAGATTATCCCCAAAACAACCTATCCTTGTTCTGCCCAATGCAATACAGTGGTACCCCGCAAGACGAACGCCTCGCGAGACGAAAAACTCGCAAAACGAAAGGTTTTTCATTTTCGAGTTGCCTCGCAAGACGAATTTCCCTATGGGCTTGCTTCGCAAAACGAAGCTTGCCCAGGGGACAGCGGGTCTTCTCTTTTGAAGCAAGGGGCGGCGGGGAGAAGCGATCTTCTCCCCGCAGCCCCAGGTCTGGGGACAGCGGGAAGCGCTTCCCGCTGCCCCCGGACCTCTTTTGAAGCAAGGGGCTGCGGGGAGATCGCTTCTCCCCACCGCCCCTTGCTTCAAAAGAGGTCCGGGGACAGCGGGAAGCGCTTCGCGCTGCCCCCGGACCTCTTTTGAAGCAAGGGTTTGCGGAGAAAAGCGATCTCCCCGCAGCCCCTTGCTTCAAAAGAGGTCCGGGGGCAGCGGGAAGCGCAGCGCTTCTTCCCCGCTGCCACCGGACCTTTTTTGAAGCAAGGGGCTGCGGGGAGATCGCTTCTCCCGGTGCTCCGAAGCCGGGCGGGGGGAGGGAACACCTGCCCCAGCCGCCCCGCTTCGGAACGCTGCCCCGAAGCGGGGCGGGGGGGCGGGAAACACCTGCCCCAGCCGCCCCCGCTTCGGAACGCTGCTCCGAAGCGGGGTGGGGGGGCGGGAACACCTGCCCCAGCCGCCCCGCTTCGGAACGCTGCCCCGAAGCGGGGCGGGGGGGGCGGGAACACCTGCCCCAGCCGCCCCGCTTCTGAGCGCTGCTCCGAAGCGGGGCGGGGGGGGCGGGAACACCTGCCCCAGCCGCCCCTCTTCGGAACGCTGCCCCGAAGCGGGGCGGGGGGGCGGGAACACCTGCCCCAGCCGCCCCGCTTCGGAACGCTGCTCCGAAGCGGGGCGGGGGGGCGGGAACACCTGCCCCAGCCGCCCCCGCTTCGGAACGCTGCCCCGAAGCGGGGAGGGGGGGCGGGAACACCTGCCCCAGCCGCCCCGCTTCCGAGCGCTGCTCCGAAGCGGGGCGGGGGGGCGGGAACACCTGCCCCAGCCGCCCCGCTTCCGAGCGCTGCTCCGAAGCGGGGCGGGGGGGCGGGAACACCTGCCCCAGCCGCCCCGCTTCGGAACGCTGCCCCGAAGCGGGGCGGGGGGGCGGGAACACCTGCCCCAGCTGCCCCGCTTCGGAACGCTGCTCCGAAGCGGGGCGGGGGGGCGGGAACCTCTCACCCCGCCGCCGGGCATCGGAACGAGGTCCTGGACCTCTTCTGAAGGCAGGCGGGGGCAAAAGTCTTTGCTCCCCCCGCCTGCCTTCCCGGGACAGCGGAGACTTCTCCGCTGCCCCGGGCGATCTTAAAATGCTGGCGGGCGGGAGCGAAGCGTTCGCTGCCGACCCCCAGCATTTTAAAATCTCCTCGGGGCAGCGGAGACTTCGCTCCCGCCCGCCAGCATTTTAAAATCGCCCCGGGACAGCCCACAATAAACTGGCACATGCAAAAGAAGCTACAGAGTCTCTGATTCTCTGGAACAGCATCCAACGGGTATCCTTATATACCGAAAATATTCAGGCCATAGAATCATCCACCTTATTCATCACTCAATAAAACTAATAACAATAGGCTTTTGCTGGGTGAGATAAGCAGAAGCCAAACATTGCTGGTTTCAAAGTCACATGCAGCATTGTTCCCATTCTGCTGCAGTTCATCTTCCACCAAAGACTACATTTTTCATCTTGCTGCCCACTGTGGCAAAATCACATTATTTACATAATTAATTACATAGGTTACATTGCCATTACTGTATGTTATTGCACTCCATTCATTTCATCCAAGGGGGGATCAATGCAAATGGAGGGGAAGTAATCAATGATATATCATTTGAGGAAAGAAAGCAACAGCAGCAGCAAATACCAGTTGCACTCTCTGGATTGTTTTCTGTTCTGAACATGGGACGGATAAATAAACCTCAGCCATTTCTGCTCCTCTTTCCTTCTTCATCAGAATTCTCCAACAGCCCTGTCCACCCCCATCTCTGTGTACACAACAAGGTCTCATCTCTCCTGCTTAGTTATACACAGTGAACACTCAACCCTATTTTTTTTCTCAGAGATGGTAAGCAAAGAACAACAACAACTCTCCACAGTTCTGCTGGGTAGGGACTTATTTCTGCCCATCCAAATGTAAATGCCAAAGCACTGTCTTCTGAGAAATTGGTTGCAATTGCAGCCCGTTCTAGGAGCAGCATGGGTGAGCTCAAGCTGAACTACCGGTACGCCCACCATGTGTTCAAATTTGTGAGCCCATGTGCCTAGCTTGCTCTCTCAGGCATGAATCCAGACATTTCTCCATAGCCAGCAAGGATGGGAGGGAAGCCATGCCATTCCAGCCAGCTCATTGATAGCCGCAGCACTCGCTCTCACTCTCAGGCAGCTGAAGCATCCTGTCTCTATGAAACCTATCACTAACCTATCACTCAGCCTGAGGACTTGGGTGAGAGACTCGGCAGAAATCTTGGCTTTGCTCTCTGAGCCTTATCATGCACATCAGTCGGGCACTTCGCAAACATCCGTGCCATCTGTTTCTTGGGCAGGGCCCGCTTGCTGCACGTGACCTTCAGGCTGTCCAGAAAATGCATCTGTTTCCACCTCTCCCCATTCCTCTTCGTACTCTGGCTCTGAGGCAGGCTGCCCGTGACAGTCTGTGCTAGGCATTTGGGCAAGGATAGGAGTGACCATGACTTAGCAACTGGGGCAGGGGGAACCCAAGGCAAAATAAAACACCGTTGCCAAGTTTGTCGAGTGACCTCAGTGGAAACTGGCCCTAAGAAAAGGAACTCACCCTTTTGGTGTCATCATGGGATTCATCTGGAAAGGGAGCAAGCGGCAGATGATCTCAAGCCAATTTAATTCAGTTGGACGCAGAGGTCAAGGCAAAGGGCTGCCTGACTAAAAGATGCATTTGCAGTGGCTACTTGCATTAGTAATTGCTTCCTTATAAATCAAACCAATTTTTGCCCACTAAGGGGAAATTCCAGACGCGACACTAAAAGCACTTTCTGAGCCACGTATTGTGAGTGCTGCTAATGTGTAACAGGAAGCAAAAGAGGGAAAATGTAGGCTTTGCTTTCTTATCACAAGCCACTTTTAAACAAAACCGATTTATGCATCACCATGTGAAAATGTTGCATACATTGGTTTACACTGCTGTAACTAACACTTGGTTTTCAATAGGGCTGCAGGAAAAAGCCTCCTCCCCTTTTTACCTGTTCTGCCACAGTCTTGCTCTACAGCTTTGGGTAGTTATGGTCAGAACAATGGTTTATTCAACCCATTGTCCTGTTTCCAAAGTGTGTTTTAGAGTAATTCTCTCCCTCCCCTACCCCTCAAAAGCATATACAATACAGCCATTCACCCAAAGCCATTCATTCCCAAGCATCTAACAGACTGAGATTTAGGGAGATCCTGAGCATGAAGTTGGCAGTCCACTGATCATCTTTGTTGAGCAGCTATTGCCATTTCAGAAAGTATTTAATCCTTATGGCGCTCTACTTACACTGCCACTATTGGCATCATTCCACACCAGAGAGTTGCACAAAACAAAGTTTCTAAAAAAGACAGCCTAATGTATCAACTTTTGTGTCATATGCTCAGCAGTAGAATATCCTGCTGCCTACCCTGTTTCAAAATGTACCTGAATCTTCGATTTTCCAGAGCCCAGCACATACATTTTTGTAGCTACCTAAACACAATGTTGTAGTATGTTGCCCATCTGTATACTTGTTAACTCTTCTCCATCCTTTTTGTGTCATTCCACAACCAGTCGACCAACCCCACACAGACACTCCCCCTTTCAGACTAGTAAGTAGGAAGGCTACCGTCCAATTCTGGCATCTAAGTGAAGAAACTGTGCTCCTTCAAAAGTGTGGTCACAATATGGTAGAGGGCTTGAAGTGGAAACTGCACAAGCATTATAACATCGAGGTTTGGTTTTCAAAAACTCCCATTCAAAGACTGAAAGCAGAAATGCTTTGGGATAAGAATACTAGAAGGGGGGGGTGGAATGCCAATTAGACCCTGTGTAAGGATTGTTATCCCCTGCTTGACTCAGACCTTGTTTTAAACAAAGAGCATGAAAGCTAGCTCTTGTTGCACTAGCATCTCCCGTTCCTTCCCTCTCCGTATTGCTTTGTTTCCCTTGTCTCTCCCTCAGTCCCTGTTCCAGTGCCAGATCTGGACTGTAAGCTCCTTGGAGCAGAGGCCTGCTTCTTGCTTCTGTTTTTTAAAGTAACATGTGGATTCAGTAGCAGCTAGTGCTTCCTAGCACTGCACATTGCTGCTGCTTACCAAGAGGGAGAAGGGCGAGGCAATAGGGAGCTTAGCATGGTGCAGGCGAAGCATCAAATGGGCTCCACCGCTGCTCCTGCTCTGTGCCACGTTCCCCACTGCCTTGCCACTCCACCTCAGTGTAAGGGGCAGTGGCATTGGGAAGCCAGAAGAGCAACATAGCCCCACCTGCACCGATTGTGCTGCATAAATGCTAGTGAACCATGAAGTCTTTTTCTGATAAGTTTCCAAAGTTCCACTTTTTTGAATGAAAAGTCTCGAGAAGCACTTCACAGATGCATACAATCATGTGCCTTGTCCTAAAATGTTATTTGAAAATAGGGGAGGAATGCTGATGGGAGCTATAGATATCGCTATCTAAAGGGCACCAAAGGAAGAACATCCATCAATTTAAGACTTGGATCACAACGCTGAAGTGTAAGATGATGCTAGGCTTTATCTCATGCCCTCCAGAAAGCTTATCCCTAGTAATAGACCAAAAAAATGCTTGCTTTAACTGAGCTGGCATTTACCAGGTGGCACACAAGCACACCAGTACCCGTGAGCTAGGGTGTGTACAATGGAAGTCTGAGGCACCTACCCTCCATGCTGTCTTCACGACGCATGTTGAAGTTTTCATAGGAGTCCCGGCGGATGAGCGGGTCAGAGGTGTTGTAGTCCACTGAGACACTGGGGCCATTCTCGAGATGCTCCATGCCTGCAGAGGAAGGACAGCACGGTTTCAGCAACAGAGCTGGCCGACACCTTCCAGTGCATGCCCAGTCACAGAAGAAGCCAGCAATGTGGTAAGGAAAATATAAGAAGAAGGGAAGAGACAGAGGGAGCAAGATAAAGGGGAAACAGAACCTGTAGAAGACAGATGATGCAAGGAAAACCCAGAAGTGAGTCACACTTAGGAATCAAAGGGGAGAGAGAGGGGAGCAGCACAAGGTTAGAGGCTGCAGGTGGGGTGAGCAGCTATGGAAGAGCCTGAGGACAAGCAAGGCTGTAGCAGTGGCAGAGCATCTGAACCACACGCAGAAAATCCTAGGTTTAATCCCCAGCATCTCCCAGCAACCACAGTCTGAAACCCTGGAGAGCTACTACAGGTGTGGACAATACTAAGCTAGACAAACTAATAGTCCGACTGAGTATATGGAATTTCTTAAGACCAAGTGAAGCAAGGACCTAAGATATTATTCCCAGAAGAGTCCACTGCAGACATTTGGGAATGCCACGGATGAAGCCTCAATCAACCAGGCAAGCATGAACGGGGAAAGAAGGTGTCTGCTGGTAAGGAAAAGCAGGACCAGGTGGCTCAACTGGATCAGCAGCTGGCTCTTAGTTATGATGGTCTGGTGAACTGAAGCACCCTCTGCCCACCAGCAGCAGTGACAAAGGAGAAGGGGAAGTCCCAACGCAAGGTTACCTGCCCTATCAGCAAAGAATGGCCAAGCTGTGAAGAAATCATGCGGGGAGCTCCAGACACAGAACTGTAGGGCCTGGCAATGGGGAGGAAGCAGGGAATGGGAGCAGTAGGTACCAGAGGTTGGTGATTAGAAAACACAGTACCTTGAATCTTCTCAGGTCCATAGGAGAACACAAACTCCACCTTCCCATACTCTGGAAACCGCTCGTCTGCAATGAACAAGAAGACCAAAGGATATTCAGGTATATCTAACTGTCTGTACTGACTGAGGACTTATAAACTGGGGCAATACCATGACTGCTAGGGAAGCTGAATTCAGTGGGGATCTGTTAGGGATATGCCAACAGGGATCATTGCTTCTGTCTAGATATCCTGGGGTCTCACACCAACAAGTTGCCCATCCTCATGGCTATGACTACTATAAATAATCTGTGTTTTTCTTGGTTCATCTAGCTACGATACGATATCTTTATTGTCATTGTCCCATACAGAACAATCAAAGGACAGTTCACCATGACACAACATCTGCACAGCTTTGGCTCTAATAAGGGTATGTTTGTGACATCTCTTCCCATCCCCTGCACTTCTTGGTGAAGACCACTCTTATCACAGCCAACAACTGTCTCAAACACCACCGGGCAGCTCACCCTCTTCAAACATGCATTGGCACTATACAAATAAAGCACAATTAAGTCTCCTCTTTTCTAGTGGAGCCAAGGTGATGGCTTTTGGATGGAAGTAAGACTGAAGAGGAATTGTTCTTGGAATGGCTGGCAGCCATGGAGGAGTGACTCACATGACCCTCTCAGGCACTGGTCCTACCACACTGGCAGGACAATCAGAATGAGGACAGGAGGTCAATTCATCTGTCTGGTATTTCATTTGGCCTGTAAAGCCCGGGGGGGGGCAGAATCTTTTTATGCACTTCCAAACTGATTATTGCACTACTTTGGGTAATGTCATGATGGTCAATAGAAGCTGGTAGTCCAGCAAATCAAAATCAAGGAAGAGATAACAATGTAAGTGAATAGAATGCCAAGTTCCAGAGAAGGTTAATAGTTACAGTCACCAACAGATCCTTCAAGCTACCTGTGGCCCAACAAACCTAAATGATTTGATCCTAACATAAACCAAAAATAACAGCTTGGGTCCAGTTCACTTGAAAGATTGATTTGCCCCACATGTGCCTATGCGAGTGCTTCAAACTGCAGAGTTTCCACTTTTACAAGTGCCATATAATGTTTGTTTCACATCTGTTGGGAGTTAGTCTTTCAGCATGGCAGCATCTGTCCTTTGGAACTCTCTGCTGTTAACATCTGGCAGAAACTTTGCTTACTCTTTTAGGCACTTGCTCATACTTTTTTAATTTAGTTAAACAAGCCTATCTAGATTTTAGTATTTGCTTTTAAGTTTTCCGTGATTTTATCTGTGCTCATTGGCAATTGTTCCATACGGTTTTATGTACATTGCATTTTTTTTTAAAAAAGTGGTATATAAATTTTATAAATAAACAGCATATTCCTTTACACTCTTAAGTGCCACAGTGAGGTGAACTACAGGAAAGCTGCATTACATGAAAGGGGGCACTACTCTCCAAACAAAAAACACACAAAACAACAACATTCTTATACTGATTGGAGGTTTTTAAGCAAGGGTTGGGTGGCCACCTGTCATGCATGCTTTAGCTGAGATTCCTGCATTACAAGGGGTTGGCTTAGATGACCCTCAGGGTCCCTTCCAATGCTACAATTCTATGATTCGATCCTCTGCTTACTAAACCAGCTTCCCTTCATTCCCATTTATACAATTGTCCTTACCTTTAAAGGCATCATCCAGGTCCTCCTTATTGAATACAATGGCCAGGTCATGAATGGCACAGGTGTGGAATTGCACTCGGAAGATCACATCTCGAGTTGGGCTACGGAACTCTTTGTGATAGCATTTCAGCTGCCGGCGGGTGACGGGCAGCGAAGAGAAGGAAAGAGAAGAGTCATAAGCTTGGGGACCTGCCAGAAAACAAACGATTCTCTCCACCCCACACCAACTGCACAGTATCCCAGAGTAAGCAGATTGTGGCCTGCAGACTGTGCATGTCTCCAGCATCCTATTCTGGCATCTCCAAAACTGAACCACCTACTAATGCTGCATGTAGGGGTGGATGAATCTGTCCATGTCAGTTCCGAATTTTCTCACCCTTATGCAGTTTGCCCCATTTTTGCATCAATTTGAGAACAAAAAAATCTTCACAAATTCTGCATGCAAAATTGTGTGCATTTTTGTGTGCATCTCTCCCAATATATGCATGTTTGTATGCACATTTGCCTAATACACACATTTTTATGCAAGCAATTTCCCCTACTACAGGCATAGGCAAACCCGGCCCTCCAGATGTTTTGGGACTACAACTCCCATCATCCCTAGCTAACAGGACCAGTGGTCAGGGATGATGGGAGCTGTAGCCCCAAAACATCTGGATGGCTGAGTTTGCCTACGCCTGCCCTACATAATGTTTTGTATGGTATTTTCACTGATATATGTACAGTGGTGCAGTTTTTGGTTGGAGGACTCGTATCATAAAATTTGGAGAAATGCAAATTTCAAAGGACAGCTGTGTTTCGTTTTGCTAAGGCTGTGTACACACTATGTAAGGTAAAAAAAGGTAAAGCACCCCTGGGACAGTTAAGTCCAGTCAAAGGTGACTATGGGGTTGTGGCGCTCATCTTGCTTTCAGGCCAAGGGAGCCGGCGTTTGTCCACAGACAATTTTCCGCGTCATGTGGCCAGCATGACTAAACTGCTTCTGGCACACAGAGTACAAGTGCCAAAGTGCACAGAAATGCCATTTACCTTCCCGCCACAGTGGTACCTATTTATCTACTTGCACTGGCATGCTTTTGAACTGCTAGGTTGGCAGGAGCTGGGAAACAGCAACGGGAGCTCACCCCGTCACGGGGATTCAAACCACCAACCTTCCGATCAGCAAGCCCAAGAGGCTCAGTGGTTTAGACCACAGCTCCACCCACGTCCCCATACTATATACCATATATTCAAAGCACATGCACACACAAAGAATTATGGGAACTGGAGTTTGATAAGGATGCTGGAACTTGTAGCTCTGTGAGTAGTAAACAACAGTTCCTAGATTTCTTTGGTGAAGAGAGGAATGTGCTTTAAATGTATAGTGTGTATGCAGCCTCATTGGTTCAGGAAGCATGAACTGAAATGTGAACAGAACTAACTTCTCTCTCATTCCTTGCTAAACTGAGTGAGCCAAAGCCTCACAATGGCAGAAAATGGACCAAAGCAAACAAACAAACCAGCTATGTTTTACTCTTACCAAGATATCTCCCTTTAAGAGTAGTCCAGGCTCTATAGTGATGCAGATGCTGGTCTGACTGTCCCCCTGCACATTGCTACAAAGAAGAAGAAATAAGTTAAGCATAGACAGCTGGGATGCTGTTCCCTAAAGTTGGGTCAACATAGGAGCCTCATCTACTCAAGGCAGATCTAAACAAGAAATTGGGACAGAAGAACAGAGGAGAGCCAACTAGTGTGAGAGTTTGGGGCTGCCTTGGTTGGCTACAGTTCCTTTGCCACTCACACTGATCATTCCTGTCTTATTTGGAGAGATTAGAACAGGGGAACGGCACTATGAACACGTCAATTATGCAAGACAACCTATAGCAATCAGCAGAGATATGGATGAGGAGTTTCCATAATAAAATTGCTGATGAGAAAGTTTGTATGCCAGATGATCTTCACAAAATCTTGTCCCAGAATTTAACATGGCTAGTTTGCACAATCCTAACCTCCTTTACTCAATCTACTCAGCGCTTCCACTTCTGAAGTTTCTTAATATGGAAGCTGCTACCCCACATAAACAGGTACAGTGGTACCTTGGGTTACAGACGCTTCAGGTTACAAACTCCACTAACCCAGAAGTAGTACCTCAGGTTAAGAATTTTGCTTCAGGATGAGAACAGAAATCGTGCAGCAGCGGCACAGCGGCAGCAGCAGGAGGCCCTATTAGCTAAAGTGGTGCTACAGGTTAAGAACAGACCTCCAGAACGAATTAAGTTCTTAACCCGAGGTACCACTGTACTAATCCTTCCCTACAGTGCTGCATATGTCTAGACAAATGTTTGCAGAACTCTTTCAGCTTATCCAATGCTGCCGTTGCTGCTCTGCAACCAGAGATTCAATCAGTACAAGAATCAACCAAAGCTTTCGCAGGTCAAAAATCAGTCAGGACAAATTTTAATGGGTGAGGTTGAAACTGGATGACACACTTGTTGATTTGAAAACAAAAAAGAATGTACTGAAGACTGCCTTTCTTTCCATCTCAAATTTCCTTTTGAATAAAACACATCTAAAGTTTTAGTGTAGATTTATTAAATATGCACTTTTATAATTAGGTGATTAAATATAAGTAAGCCCTCAGTTAAAACTCATCTAGGTAGCCATTTTTTAAAAAAAGAATAGCCAATTAAGACCTGTAGCTGTTTCATAGAACAACAATTTGCCACCTTCCTTGGGATAAAAGTTATACTGAGCTGAAAACAGCTTAACCCTGTAGACATACCAAAGGCTGCTTAGTAGATTATGTTTTTCCCACATGGAGGAAAAATTAAGTGTCATATGCAGAGAGTCTTAAATGCTGCTCTCATGGGTGATAGTATATCTGTAATATCTTCTCCTGCCCTTTGCTATGCCTATGCAGTTCAATAGGTCTCCCTCCTTTATGGTTTTCTTGGCAGGTTCCTGGCAATGGAGGTTAAAGCAAAGCACAAATGATGTGCAATGAGAGCCCTCCCAGATCCCACCTTTGCCCAAGATTCAGACAGAGTCCCCACCCCATTGGTCTGAAAGGAACAGAGGGGAAATGAGTGCTGGGAATAAAAAGAAGAAGTGCCAATTCCAGGGCAATATTTACTAGATTCCAGATGTGTAGACAGGCTGCATAGCTTGGTATATCTTGAGGAAGGGCCGGCAGCCTAAGAAACATAAATCAGAGACAGGGAGAAAAAGACCTTCATTAGTCAGGGAGATTAGTTGGAGAAGGGAAAACAAACAGCAAGAGGCCAAGACAAACAGTCTCGCCTGGAGGAGAGCTTTCCAGTGACCCTGCAGCCAACAAGACCTGGTCTGTGACACTGACAGATGCCCTGGAAAAGAACACAGGCACAAACAGCAGGCTCCTCCTATATTTGGAGGCATAAGGGGTTCAGGTATCTCCCTGAATGTACTGCCTAACTTCCCCTGCCCAGCTCTCTCTGTTGCAAAGGTGTGCTGTGCGCCTAAAGCCCAGAGGACAGAAAACCAAAATAACTAGTGCAGCTTTCTGTTGGGCAGCCAAATTCAGATAAATAATACTGTACATCCAATCTGTAGGCCCAGAACATTCACATTAGATGGGTGTGTGTATTGGTGTGTGTGTGTTTGTGTGTATATCAAAGTTAACAAAGAGTGCTGTGTGTAGGACCACATAGATCTAGACGGCTGAAAGCTGGGCCTTGGTGTCACAGAATGGATCACCCCATTCTTGTGATGATTTACAACTGTTGCAGCAAAACCAAAGAAGAGTTTTGTGGTACCATGTGTATATCAGTTCCTATGCTAAAGAATAAATGGACACAAATCTGGCATCTGAAACAGCAATATAACCCAGTACAGTAACATTTCAATCTCCCAGGACACTCTGCAACACATCTTAAAGTGGGAGTACTTGAAAAACAAGTGGCTCCAACATGAAACTGCCTGACATCATCATCATCATCATCCTTTTACTCTTTCTCCCTAAGAATATCAGTGGTGTACAATAAAAACAGTAAAACAATATAAACAAGCAACAGCAAGGGGGGGGGAGTTCAGTGCAGTCAAAGTAACTAGGAGAAACCAGAAATTGTAATAACAATTGCACAATAAGAAAAGATAACCATATTGGCTCATGGGGAAAGCCCAAAATCCTTATTAGAGGAATACCTTTATTAGGCCAACCAAACTGCCACAAAATTCCAGGTGCAACCTAAAACCTGCATAGCAGCTAACAAAGCCTCATTTGAACTCCCACTACAGCCTCCCACATTCTGCTTTAAGACTGTGATCAGATATATTCTCTTTTCTATCCCCACTCTGTTTACCATGAGCTGATGAATAGATCTGGATAAGTCAGAAGCTTGCATACTGTTTTGAAGCATTCTAGTTGGCCTAATAAAGGTATTAGACTGATATGGATTTTGGAAGTTCAGCTCTGTTCATTTGGATCTGAATAGAGTTGACGTTTTCCTTCCCCTCTACAGATGTTAATTAGCGTGGCTCTGTCAAGTGGATTGTTTCATCACCTAGCACTGCTGTTGTAAAGAGTAGCTGTGCTGATCTTGCAGGCATTCTAGCTCTAATTGAATTGTCACTATCTGCACTGTTTTCTATTTCAATTCCTTCTGATCTCACTGCTTACAATCCCTCCCCCATATGCATATACATACCTGCCAAGTAAATGTTACATCTGATGTCAAGCATGTGATGCGTAGGTTCTAGTTCATACAAGTTTATGTCATAATAAAATTTAAGACGACACAAAACTGTTGTTCCACTGCTGTGCAGTGTCTTAGGGTCATGATACACAAGTAGAGGGAACACTGGAAATTACATAGCAGGGTTGTTCTTATGCTCTTATCAAACATCCTGAGCTGGAATTGAATAACTGCAAGAACATTCGGCCCAAGGATGTTAAAATGGATTTTACTGCAAGTAGGTGGCTGAATCTGAGCTGACTTGGAACATGTGAGAACATCTGCTCCAATTCCATGTGATAAAACCAACAGAAGCTGCCCAAAATAAGCTGCTGAAAGCAAGAGCAATGGGTTAAAGGAAGACAGTTGTGGCTGTGACTGGCCCTATTATGTTGCAGTATAAGGTGGTAAAACAAACTGCACAACTTCAGTAGGCATGTAGGACACCACTTCTGAATCCTCCTCCAGATAAAAAAGGAAGAAAAAGAAATCCATGCAAACAGAAAACTAGCATGTCAAGGAGAATGGTTCCTAATGTGCCCTTTCCTTGATTTGGCTTTCTGTTTGCAAGAAATTTGCAATGGAGGAGGACATTAAAAAACATGATCTGCACGCTGCATTCTACAATGGCACACTCTGTTCTATCTATTGAATACTTTCACTTTGTTCTTCGACATCTGTTGGTCCAGAGAATTACAAATTATGGGATTCCTCATCAACTAACTGACATTGTTATTTTTCAGCCTCGCGACAGCTATGTTTGTGTGATGTTGGCTGGGTTGGAAAAGGTCAGTTACCTCCTTGAGACTCAAAGTTGGGAATTCCATGCATGATGACATGATGCAAGAAGAGGGGCTTGTTGTTCATTTTGATGGTGCCGGACAGCAGACCACTGAAGTAGTGGACATACCTAGAGAAGAAACCACAAGAGTAGTCAGGAGATGAGCTGGAGCCTCTTAAAAGACTCCAGTGTGGTGTAGTGGTTAAGAGTAATCTGGGGAACTGGGTTCGCGTCTCCGCTCCTCCACATGCAGCTGCTGGGTGACCTTGGGCCAGTCACACTTCTTTGAAGTCTCTCAGCCCCACTCACCTCACAGAGTGTTTGTTGTGGGGGAGGAAGGGAAAGGAGAATGTTAGCCGCTTTGAGACTCTTTAAAGGGAGTGAAAGTCGGGATATCAAATCCAAACTCTTCTTCTTCTTCTTCTAATGCTTCAATAAAGAAAAGTTGCCCTCTGCAAACAGTGTGAAACTGGGCAATTCTCTCATAGTGATTTATACTAAGGTCTCAGTCACAAGTCTCTAAATATGCTTGTTTTTTAAACATGCTTCATGATTTTCTTAAGATATCTCAGAAGCTGGCATGAAAGATTTTTGCTGAGCAGAACTTGTCTGGAATTAGTGTGTTGCCTTCCCTAACTTTAGGGCCTGTTTTTGAATAATCTGCCTGACAGCTGTTGGCACAAGTTTGGTTCTTTTTAGCCTTAATATTCTGGAGTACCAACCAGATTTACATTTGGTGTCAAATCTTGCTAGTGCAGTTCTGGGCTTGGACAGGTATCTTCATTTGTAGTATAACATTCACAAGGATGAAATCTTGTTAAGAGGCTGCTTTATGCAGTCCTGGTGTCTCCATTTCTGGCTAACCTAGAAACATAACCTGGGTGCCTAGACATATTTCTGTAGTCAACAGAGCCACTGGAAATAGTCCCAATAGCACTAGGAGATCAAACACCCATAGACTACTCGGGAGTAGGGACCATTCATACAAAAAATGGAGGTGCCGACCTAAGTCTTTTCAGTTCTTCTGTATGCATTATCTAGAGTGCCAATGATTAACTAATCAGTTCTGATTTACTTCAGGGGTCTACAGCAGAACGACTCGTTCCCTGTTCCACTTTATTTGCAGGCAACTGTTTTCAGACATGAAAAATGTATTTATATTATGCAACGCAAAGTTCATATTTTGATCATATTTTGATGCTAGAACGCCCTTTAAAAAGGAGAGCTTATGCTGAGATGTTGGTAGTGGCTACAAGACAGAGGAACATTTTCCCATTAAAAACCAAAGACTCATCATGACTGGCTCCAGCACCACCTAGTGAAACTGACTGAAAATACACTGCAGGCCCAATAGGTATCTTATTTTTAGAAATTCAACACTAAACAGAGTGTTTTTTTGCAACATGAGAAACATCCTGAGCTCTGATATCTACACTATGATAGCCATAAAGACACCCATTCTGAATGTCTCACAACGAAAGCAGTCTTTTCCATTAAGCTCACAGCCCACACTCAATAGAAGGTGGAAAACCCTCACCAGCCTGCCCTCCAGACTAACCTCTTCTGTGATGGCTGCCCCACTGGGATCACCTTGTCCTCATAGAACCTCTTCATGGCAAACCGGTCCAGAGCTTGGTCTGCACTGTGGAATAAAGAAAAGAGATTGGCACAGACATATTCCATGGGAAAGGGGGGAAAGTTCGTAGGTGAGCTGGAAAAAAAGAGAGGCCCCAAGTAAGAAGAGGTTTCTTCTTTCTTCCCCAGTATTTGATATAGGGAATTTCAACAGGGATTTCAGGCTGCAATCCCAGGTCAGCTAACATGCTGCCCTCCATATGTTGCTGGAGTCCTTTGACCCTTGCCTATTGGCCATGCTGAGTGGGGCTGATGGGAGCTGCAGCCCAATAACATCGAGAGGGCACAACACTGGCTATACACTCCCAACTGGGAACAAATCCAATTGAATTCAGTGGGGGTTCTGAATAGACATGCATGGGATGGGTTATCATGCTGCGAAATGTTTTGTTTCAAATGAAAAATGATGACATTTCTAGGCATCCTATCAATAAGTTAATTGACTGCATTGGCCAATTGACTGTATTGATGCAATAAGTCAATTGAGGTACTGATGCAATGAGCCAATCCTCAGTAGAGCAATGCATATATCACAGCTTTATGTTTCTTTCTCTAGTATAGTACATATATAATACTGTCACTTACTGGAGATTCTGCCTCAACTTGTAGAACAGGAAATGTGATATCAGCCTAACTATAACAAACTTTTTTTCTTTTCACTGACCCCTCTGGGACCAAAAAAATGAGACCCAGAAGATCAAAGCTTCTGCACCCCAACCCAGTGGCCCTAGTGCATGTTCTCATCCCTCTTTGTTGGCCTTGCCCTCCAGTCACTCTCTCTGGCCACCTCCCTTCAAGCTCATTCCCTGGAGAATTGGCCAGCAGGAAGCTTCATTGGGGCCCTTCGTTCCCATATAAACCAAACAGAAAGGCTTTCTCCAGAAGCCAAAGCACTGTGGGAAACTTCTCCCACTCACAGAAGAATGGCCAGACAAGAGCTATTTCCCATTAGGTATTTTGTGTTCTATAGAACAGTTCTATAATCACCACCAGCTTTGAAGTGGCATGAGAACACAATTGGAGTGCCTGTATTAGGATGGGTGATCTGGGACTTGGCTTCAGGAAAGTACATTCCAAGGTTGTTTTCTGGACTGCTATGATCAAAACAGACATGCTAAAGTTGCAGAGGCTCCAGAATAGCCTGTTCCCTCTTCTACTTTACCTCTCACCACTAAAACTACGGTCTTCACCACCCCTCATGCAACACAGCATGAGGCTCTCTTACCTGGCTGAAATGTTGCTGTAGTGCATGTAGGCAGCAATAACTACTCCTGTCCGGCCTCTGTTCCCCTGCAAAAGACATAAGCAAAACAAGTGGTTTAGAGTGACCAGTAAGAAAGTCTTGTAAAAGAGAAAGCAGCTATCCATCTCCACTAAAAGGTCTGATCTCTCCAAAGTGAATAGAACAACAATATCCAATCCATGTCAGTTTTGCCTATATACACTTATTTCCACATCAATCTGCATTCTTTTTATTTAAAAAGCCACACAAAAAGGTGCATTTAAATACCTATTTTAAAAATATGTTTTCTCTCAAAATGCACATTTGCAAATGTAACTTGCTACATTTTTGCACCTAGAACTCTGTCAGTATGTTCAGGAAACATGAAAGGCTGTGGGTAATTAAGTTCCAATCTACATGTTGGTCCGGAAGGTCCAAATCAGGTCAATTCATATCGGCATTTGCAAAGGTTTAATTTCTCAAGCATTCCATGGAACAATGTCCTACTAATACGTCCAGGCTTTTGAGAGGAGCAGGCTCCATTCAGACCAGGCAGCCTATTACTGGAAATTAAAAGAATTAAAGGTTATGTTGGCTGGCAGGGAGAAACCGGCTGGTTGATTCCACTTCACTCTCGATTACTCCTTACAATGCATTTTCCACCAGGAAGGAAAGGCTGGCCAATAGATGTCGCTGTTCCCTTTGACACCAATTGACCTGCAGGGAATCTAAGAGGCCTTTAGAGAGCTCTGATTTTGTGGCATCCTCTCATAAACCCAATCTCCACGTTGTGAAGAAAAGGCTTTTCAGAGGAAACTGGTGCACCCACTGTCATACCTCAAAGCACAAACTGCTCAATGTCTAACCAGGGAGCTATTTTAAAATGAGAAAACTGCTGTAGTACAGTGGATAATGGAGATCTGTGCATACCTATCTGCTTCCCCCTGAAACCATTGGGTATTATGTTTATTATTTCTATCTATAGTCCAGTCTTCCTCCCAAAGGAGCCCAGGGACACCCCACCCAATCCAGCCCTTGCACTGCCTTCCCAAAGCCAGGTAAGGGAAATGCCAGGCTTTGGAAGGAGGTGCAAGGCTCTGGCAGGGTCCCAGAGTCCTCCCACCTCCTTCCCAAAGCTGGGAAACACTAACTAGGCTTTGGGAAGGAGTGGACTCTAGGACCCTATCAGAGCCCTCACACCTCTTTCCCAAAACCCAGCACCTCTCTGGAAGGCAGCACAAGGGTCAAATGTTGCTGAGGGCCCTTGGGCCATGTATTGGACCACCCTGACCTAGAGGGTACAACATAAACTAGCTGTGCTTCAAACAATTCTCTCTCTCAATTCAACTCCAGTACTGAAAGCTTGAAAGGAACAGTGGAGAAATGGAGGGCAAGGAAGTACATTGGGGAGAAGTTAGCACCAAAATCTATGTACTCTGTTTCAATTTTTAAAATGGGCATCACCCCCAATCTCGCTCCATAAGCAAGCTGGACAGATTCACAAATAAGCATGGCTGCCCTGTTGCATCTAGTATGACTCTGAATCTGTTGTCAGGGTCTATTTTGTTTTATCTGTTGTACTTAAAACTGCGCACAGAGTTTGTTCTGATCAATCCAAAGCAGGTTACAGCATAAAAACATAAAACACAGTAACATTTAATACAATACAGCAAAAACATAAAAAGGGACCCAAACTCATAAAAAAGCACTGAAATAAAAACTGAAGTGGCGGATAAATTGCATTGCACACCCAAATGGCCTGGGGAAAACAATAACCTTGCTGGATTGATTTGGCTTTAAGATCCTGGTTAATAAGTTGGCATTAAGTCATATTTCCCCATTTTGGACATGATGTGAAACTGCAATGTAAACTGACCAGGATCAAGGGAGAGAAAAGGAGAGAAAGGAGAGAGAAATGTGCAGGCCCCACAGACTTTCATGGCTTAATTATGGTTTTTAAACCCAGGAAAATCACATCTGAAAAAGCCATCAGAGTTGGATGTCATCAGCATACTCATGGCACCTCATTCCAAAAATCTCAAGCAATCTCTCCAAAGGGGTTCCATGCAGATTTCAGAACAAAGGACTACACCACCAACAGCAGAAATCCAAAGGCAGTAGAAAGCCCCAAACAGTAATCTAAAAGGTATTTGATTAATCTTCCACAGTTATCTGATGCATATCAAATCCATATGCATTTTCATCACAGAAATCTAGTGATCTATAAAGATATGCTTCCTTCTCCTTTCACAGCTTGCTGAATACCTAATCCCCATCCAACTCCCATCTTTACTCCCATACTATCCTTCCAATACTCTTATACCCATTATACTTTCTGATTCCCATTACAGGCATAGAAGTAAACTGCTTCCTTTTTCCACTGCTTGCATTTCTGACTGAAGTTTAATGATCTGAACAAAATAGCAAGAGTCCTTTTATAAGCAACAACACTCTCCATGCTCATACATAAGCATTGAAAGGAATAAAATGTCCAAATATAACAACAATGCAAATATGATCATTAATGCAATACCAGCAGCGTCATTAGGCAGAGAAAGACAGATGATGAGGGCAGGGAGGTACTGGAGGAGAGATCTGTGTGCACTACACAGCCTGCATGTGCCTTCTGTGAAACCACGCTACTGCCCTCAGCTGCCATGGAGAAATAAAATTCAATTGCCAGTCCGGCCATGTCTGTTGGTCATAGGCTTGCTAAAGGGAGGGTGGACTTTCTTTTCCATCTGCTACTAGGCCAAGTTGCACTAATGTACAAAGCCCCTGCAAAAGTTAGCCAATGGATAACTGAAGGCTTGCTTGACCCTGTGTATCCTACACCAATCACTGAGATGAACTGGGGGAGCATATTAATAGACCAGAAACACAAATTATGGCAATGAGGACTCATGCCTTCCATATAGTAGGCCCAATTCTAGGGAATTCCTTCCCATTAGAAATCAGGTGGGCACCATCACTGGTAGGTTTCAGGTGCCAGGTTCAAATGGTGTTATTATTATTATTATTTATTGAATTTATATACCACCCTATACCCAGAAGTCTCAGGGCGGGTCACAGAACAAAATCAGAATAAAAAACCACAAAGTATATAACCAAAATAAAAACAACAACCAAATAACCTCCCCCCCCCCAAAAAAAAAAAACCCACACACATAGAAGTGAAAAACAAATGGCTGTCATTCACACAGCCAACTATCCTGTCCTTTCCAACTAAGCAGAGGAAGGAACCACATGGAAACTCTGCAGGGAAAACTCATTCGCTTCTCTCTCACCTTATTATGCAGAACCACCACATTGTGAGGATCAGCATTCAGCCACGTATCCATGGCCTTGCAGATGCTGCATATCTTCTCCAGGGCAGGTGTGTGCAAGTCAGGCCATCCGAAATCCAGCACCTGTGGCAGAAGGAGAGCAGAGGTTTCCAAGCAAGAGGAAGACGAAGAAGAAAGGAAAGTGTTAAAGAAGATGAAGATTCCTCCCCCGGTACACTTTTGATTAGATGTTGCTATTGAACAAAGGTATCCCAGTTTTCCCTGGAAAAGACCCTGAAGTTGGGAAAGATTGAGGGCACAAGGAGAAGGGAACGACAGAGGACGAGATGGTTGGACAGTGTTCTTGAAGCTACAAACATGAGTTTGACCAAACTGCAGGAGGCAGTGGAAGACAGGAGTGCCTGGCGTGCTCTGGTCCATGGGGTCACGAAGAGTCGGACACAACTAAATGACTAAACAACAACAACAAATCCCAGTTTTGAAGGCCATTAGGCAGGATGAGGCTAGCTCAATTCAGGCACAAGATTCTGAGGCAGCATGAAAGGACAACAGATTCCCATAGTACTTCATGGCATAATCCACTTTACAGAGTTTTGAGGCTGGGTTTATATGAAAGTTGGGGAGCTCTTAGCACATTCCTTAAGAACATCTCAAGAGCTTCCAGCAAAACTTTGCAAAGGCCATATTTTGCATACAGGACTGCCAATGCTAACAACTTTCATTGATGAATAATTGGCCATCCTACAGCATGGATCTGTGTGCATACTCATGTGTTGACTACAAGCATGACTGCCTCTGCCAGGAGCTCACAAGGCAAGCCACTATTATCTCAGCCTTGGCTTCTACCCTGCTCTGAAGCAGGGGGATAATAATATTGACCTACTGTACAGGGTTGTTCTAAAGATTGCTTAGATGAAGTACTTTGAACACCATCAAAAGCTTATATACGGTAAATGCTAGGTTGAATTCAGATCCCAATTTCCAATACTTTTATCTCGTCTTTTTGCTTTGCTGTGATTTCTGACCAGTGAAGCTAGAGCCTTTGCTTGCAGAAGGAAACCACTTCCTATCTCTGTCCCAGAAATTTCTAGGAGATTGGTATTTTGCCCCTGGCTCCCCGCCTGACTACAACTTGCCAACCTAGCAATATCAACCTGCTGCCACTGCCCTTTGATACATGTGGTGGCAAACCTACAACATTAGCTGTTCCTTCAGAGCAGAGAGGCAGGCAAAGTATTTCAGCCATGTGCCTGGCTTTGGATGGATGAACAGCTTCTTTGGCAACCAAAGGCAGCAGCAGCATGGTTGGATTAGTGGACAAAACAAACATGCAGAGGGAAGTACACATACAAAAGGCTTAAGGAGCAGCACATTAGAGGGAACTCCAAAAAGCAGAACAGGAACAACTCAGGCAGTCCCCTCTGAGACTGAAGCCTAGAGCCAAAAACTACATACAACTGAGGGGAAGTAGATCTGGAAGTTGAATTGTAGCATGTTTAAGTTCATAGAGTTATATAGCTGGAAAGGACCCTGAGTATCATAGAGTTTTCTTCCCCAGCCTGTCATAGATATCTCTCTTTCACCCTTTCCATCAAAAAACATGATTTATCAATAAGCATCTCCATCTTACCTTGGAATGGAGCTTGCTGATGTCATGCCTCTTCTCTGACAGGTTAAAAAGCTAGTGGGTGGGAAATAAATAAACCATGTTAGAAGAGTTGGTTGATGAGGTGGAGGCCTGTGGGAAACAATATGATAGAAAACTGAATGGGAGCATCAACTACAGGATTCCAAGGCTATGACATGTTTCTCCCCCACCACCACCACAAACACACACAGACGCATGTGCTTCCTTTTCCTGGAATTGCAAGCATGAGTTGTACACTTATTATTATTATTATTATTATTATTATTATTATTATTATTATTAATTTTCAGAGTTAGCTCCATGTACTGCTTAGGCACCCATATATTTTCTGCAATTTACTGGAATGGAAAATGAAATGGATTTGTGAATGAGGTGGGCTTTCAGGATTTTGAAGCTGCCAGCGTTACGTTAACAACAAAAATGAGTGGCATTCAACTAAGGTTTGCTCAGAGTAAACCCATTGGCATTAATGAACATAACTACCGTAAGTCTTCTTTGAGTAAATCCTAGTTGAATACCACCCAGTGGACAGAATCAGCAGCGTTGTCTATGGCGAAAGGGGTTTAGAGGTGTTGTGACACAAAACCACCATGAAATTTTTAAAAGTAGAAATCAGTAAAGAAGGGCTTCATCAATGACCAGGAAAATGAGTTAGGTCTAGACCAATTACAAAAGAAAGTCTACACTTCTTTGATATGGTGTATTTGTGGGAAATAGAATATAGCTAATGATGTCAGAATTCAATGCTCACAGAATGCAGTTGCTCCCAGCATTTTTCTGAAGACAGTAAAAATGAATTAAAATATCCCACACTTATTACCAGGTAACTGTCCCCATGCTTGGATTTCAGCATCTGTGCCACCTCCTTCAGGTTGCTAGAGAAGGTCTGCTCCTCCGACAAACTTGCAAAGTTGACAGCAATGATCCGCTCTGTGACATACACCAGGTCTAGTTCACAAGTGTCCTCCATGGCCTGGTTTAGGCTCAAGCTCCTAGGGCAAAGAGAAGCAACTAAACCGTCAACGGCAGAGAGGAAAGAACAAAGGTATAAAGATGGGAAAGTCTGTCTGTGTAATCTTCCCCTAGCACTGTTTGTGCATCTGTGTGCATGTATGTGTGTGTGTATATACACATCATTTTACTTTACTTGCACTTGTCTGTTGTGCAGCCAAGCTTCAACACAGCAAGGGAAGTCCAATAAGTCCCAAGTGAGCAGGTGGAGCAAGCAACCATTGCTGCTGCTATTGCTGCCACCAGCACCTGGGGTGAGGACAGAATCGGGAAATATTCCAGCAGGCTGGTGGAGCAAGCAAAGCAAGTAATCTGGAGCAGGACTTTTAGCATGGCTGCCTGTTCTGTGGAATAGCATTCCTGTTGAGGTACAATAGGTGCCCACTATCTGCCCTTTCCAGAAACCATTGGATACATTTTTTCCCCAGCAGGCTTTCCCAGAACGGGTCTTTGGCATGAGTATCTGTTCTGTATTGTGTTAGTTTTATTTTAAATGTACCAGCTGTTTCCTCCCGGTTTTTGTTTACTGCACATCATCATGACAAAATTGTGTGGAGGGTGATTAATAAATTATTATTATTAGCAGTAATAAATACACAAACTTGTTTCACTTTGCTTCTGCAGACAACTTTAGGGGACATTCACAGGGTGTTTCAAGTGGGCTTCTGAACATTTTTTAAAGTGCAGTTGTTCCATGGAGATTTTAATTAAATCATCATGTGTGCTTATGAACACTTATCAGGAGTAAGACAATACTGTGGCTCCAAGGAAGAGAGAGACCATTCTCAACATTCTCTTTGAGCTTTTCTTTCAATGGAATACTGCACAGCAGAATATGGTTCCATCATGCAGGATGACCGGTGCAAAATGCAGAGAATGAAATCTGGGGATACCCAGAGACTGTAGCAACCAGAGAAACTGCTGTGGGAATAATTCCAACCAAGGAATACAGCACCATAAAGAAGTATTGTTGCATGATGTCTATAAGTGCATGTGTGTTTGGACAAGGGGAAATATTTAAGCCAAACACTGGATGTCAACACTGACACCATGTAATGCAAGCATAGGGCCACAAGGAAACACATTTTTCAGCTTTTAACAAGCATCCTGAATTAAGAAACCCTTTGTCCAAAAATGTTTGTAGATTCATGGGGAAGTAGAACAAAAACAAGCACTGCCCTATTGTGCAGGATGTTAATATGCACCCTGAAAATAGTGTTCTGGCAATAACGTAAATAGGGAACAAAAATTGTCATTGCACCCTATTCAAGAGTAAGCCAGTAAGTACTCTTTCTAAGAAGAAGCAAGGGTGCATATGCAAAGGCTCCCTCCAGCATCAGAGGCAGCATACTAGCTACAGGGAGAAAATAGCAGAAGAGAGTGACTGCCCTTTTCGGCTCCCAAGAGACATGCTGTTGGCCACTATAGGAAACATTATGCTGAACTAGATAGGCCTTTGGCCTGATACCTTAGTGCTCTTATTATATTCTTAAGGTTACCCCTTTCAGTTCCAGTTACTCCTTTCAGTTACTCCTTGCCTTTCAGCTGGGAGCCATGCACAACATATCCTAAATCTCTGCGCCTTTAAATGAGAACAAAGCAGTATAACAGCAGATCTGAACACATGAACTAGCATGTCAAATAACTATCTGGGGAAAACCTTACCCTTTTTTTTTTTTAAGTGTATTAGCTTTCGCAGATAAATATCTTGAACATGTGCTATCAATTCTGAGCAAGGCAGATATACCCATGGAAATAATGGAGGCAGTTTTGCATGTCCCTAATTATGAAGAGAGCAGTGGAAGAACACAAGAAGAGCCCTGCTGGATCAGGCCAAAGGTCCATTTAGTCCAGCATCCTGTTCTCACACTGGCCAAGCAGATATCTGTGGGAAACCTGCAAGCGGAACCTGAACACAGCTGCGCTCACCCCACTTGAGTTTCGTGGTGTTTTGAGTTTCACAGGAAAGACTCTCCAGGAAGTACTCTCATCAAACACTGAGCCTTACCTTGAGGGTTTACGTCGTGCCTGGATAATTTTGGGGGACTTTGCAAACACCTAATAAAACAAGAGTGACAAAAGGGTGAGAAAGCATGTTACTGCAGTACGTTGCTTCATTGTAGAGTGACAGGTTCAGCAGGAATGGAAGCAACTGGGTCTCCTTCTGCCTAGCTTCTAAGCGTGGCCTGCCTAGCCTGACCTGGAAAATATCACTTTAAGGTGGCCCGATCAAAGATATTTTCTGCTCCCACACACAAAATATCCCTGTTCTAGATATTTCATAGAAGCTTATTCTGGAACATCTGCATTTAAGGTTCTGGAGTTTCACTTAGACTGCAATCTCCTTCTTTCCCCACTTCTCGGGTATTTGAATAGCCTTCAGTACTGCACCCTGCATTCCATGAAATGTTTACTTCACTGAACATCACCAATGGAGCAAATTAAGGATCTTTTTTCCATTTTACAGCTCAGCAAATGAAAGAGCATGCCCCTCAAAAAAAGGAGGGTGGGGAATGGGCTTTGCAAGCAAAATACACAAGTTAAAATCATCTTTTTTTTACTTTCCAATATTGCTCCATGGAAGGAAAAGGGTACATCAGATTCATGCCCAAAGAATACTTACAGGTGGCCCAACCTGACCTGAAAGTGAGCTCTGAGCTAAAATGTATTTAGATGTCAAAGGCTGATTCCATGAATTCCAGGGCTCCAAGTTAATGCCTCAAGCATCCAAAGTGGGGGTGGCACAATTGGTAGATTGTCCCTCACACCCAGTATGATGGAAGCCAAGGAACTGTATAATCCTTTTCAAGGTTGCAAATGTTCCCTATATTGGCAACTGTAATGATACACAAAGTAAGAGGTGGGCTCCAGCATGCTCAGTCATGGCAGATGCTGGCACACACCTCTCAAATGACGCACCATAATCATTTGAGGCAGCCAACGTATCTTGTGTTGGTCTCAGTGAAGACTGAAAGGGCTTGCTCCTAGACAAACAGAGCAGCTACTCAGTCTTGGAGGGATGATTTCCACAGGTCTAATCCCATAGCTACTCCCTCTTCAATCAAGGAGCAAGCTCTTTGAGGCAACCCACAAAGTCAACCCACAAAATCTTCAAATATCTAACAAGATAACTGGCAGGCTACCTGATAGCACCCTTATCTTCTCTAGACTACCTCTCTAAAGCTGTAAGGTTGTGACCACCCCCAGTTTTGAGAGTATAGCCAGAAGGTACTTTTCATAGCTTGCTGTGGGTTGAAATAAGAACAACACTCCGGGTCAAGTATCACCACACAGCTCCTCTACTGTAAAGATTATCAAACTTTCAAAACAGAAGAGCCACTGTGAAATCTTAGTGTCTGAATTGAGGAGCATCCACTAGGATCTATGGAGCAGCGATGTGTTATGAAATAAATAATGAACAATAATTCTTTATTTCCAAACCTATCCCCCGGGCTCCCTCGCCTCCTCCTGTTTTGAAATGAGGGATGGTGGAAGACATAATTTACTGGTGACAATTGAGCTCTGCACAGAGTTAAGATATCATTTGGCAGTTCAACAGCCTCTCAATAGAGCCAAATCCTGACAGCTGTAGTGGTGAAACAAAAGATCACGCAGCACTTATTGGTGGGCAAGGAACTGCGTACAAAAGCCCCATGAGGAAAGAGTAAACAGGGAGATGAAAGCAAGCAGGTAGTAAGGAGGCTGAAGAAGAGAGCTGTGAAATATTTATGCAAAGAGTAGACACTATCTTAACCTGCACAGCTAACTGACACATGTAAGGTGAAGTGGGAGGGGGTGATTTCTGTTGGGGCTGTTCTCTGTGCATGTGTTTTCCTAGAGGAAAGAATATCTCATATCAATATGAAAATCTGCTGTTGCTCAGTACCTGTGCATCAGTTTGCATGTTGTAAGTGGTAGTCCCATGTCTCCATCCACAACATTCTTTAAAAATTGGCTTATGAAATATCCCATATCCTAATGGCACTGTTACAGGTGCCACATAATACTTGCTCTGCACTTGGAAGAAATAAACCTTTCAGTGGGGCAGCACCCATACTTTAGAAGTCCCTCCCTCTTGAAATCAGGCCGGCACCTTTATTGTGTTTCCCCAGGGCCTTTCCTTTAGGCAAGCCTATCCAGGTATGTAAAAGTTGCATGTGTTTTATATCTGTTGACTTTGCCAACCAATGACACAATCCTCTTGCCATAGGAGGGAGCTCTGTGATTGCTCCTGTCACAATCAAGGGCTGTTTAGGACACAAACAGCCATATGACTCTGCAGAAGCCCAAGGCGAGATATGTCTCTTCCATTAAAACTCAAACTAACAGCAAGCCTCATGCTCTTTTCCTCTGCAGAGACTCTGCCCCTCCATCAAAAAGAAGGAAAGAAAGATGGAGCGAGGGAGTCTATGCATATTGGACAGAGGAGGAGAAAAACAATCTAACCCTTTCCCCTCTGATAATTTTCAAGCTCAGAATCATTCTTGCCCAGCTGTTTTCTTTGGGGTTTTTTACCCATGGTTTTTACCTATAGTGGAAAGGTGCCCAGGCATTTTTAAAGGGACTACCATCTGGGACTTTAGCTGCGTTGTTGTTGTATGACAGCTGATATATTGGTTTTCTGATAGGTTATGTTTTGCTTTTATTGAATGTGAAAATTATTTCTAATTGTTGCTGTTGTGCGCTATCCTGGAATCTGTTTCAATGAAGGCGTTGTTTTTTTAAAGTGATATAGGCATGGGCATAGCTAAATAAATAAAAATACTTAACTAGCTGACCAATTGTGCAGCAGATAGCTCAGTTCTGCTCCCCCAACATTGATCCCCCCCCCCCGTATAAATCCTGGTTATGCCCATGGATATGGGGACCCTGTTTCTCTTCCTTCACAGGTGAAAAAGCAGAAATTACTTCCAGTGTTACGCATCCCAGGCTGATTTTGCTTCTTCTACTTTAGCAGAGGAAAAGGAGCACAGAGCACCACACAATGCCTTGACTGAGCCTGCTGTAGTCTGAATTCCTTGGTCCTACTAGCAGAGATAATTGGCTAATTAGCAGCCGGGGGTTTACAAATACATGGGGGATCAAGGCCCTAACAAGGATCATTAGGAGACTATTTATCAAGCTGGACAGAACAAAAGCCACCAGGGATTGAAGAGGAGGAGAACTGCAGGAAGTAATTTAAAGGCTGTGTTGAGTTTCATTTTCTCGAAAGTCAGTCAAGATAATAGCAGCAGCTTGGAAGGCTGGTGGACTAGATATCAATGCAAGGCCAGTTTTACTGCACAAGCACATAGGATGCAATCACTACCATGAAGATACTGAAGAGCCCTTTTCCAGTCAAGGTATTTGCTCCGATTCAATGACAGTAAATTTCCTCAGGATGGAATCTGCTAGCCTTCGTCACATCTGTTCAGTTAAGACAGGTCAGGGCTTCTGTCCATCACTGAAGGTAGGAAAATCTATGGGGTGCTAGAATCACCTATAATTTATCTGTGGTGTCAAGGGAATATCTGCTAGGCAGGTTTTCAGGCACTGTCTTGCCACAGCTATGTCAGCATTGTGGCAGGACAAACTGTTCCAGGACTGAATATTCCCATGTTCAGAAGACATAATTTAAATGTTCCCAAGGTTAGATCAAGGCCATGGGGATGGCTTTAGTACATGCACTGCATTGTGCCCGGCACAATCAGCACCATGGACAACTGTGGGGTGTGTATGAGGAAAAGTGTTCACCGCACATGTTTAATGCACATCAGTTCTGTGCAAGCTGTGAATGGCTCCATTCACTCCACTATCATTTGAAACTAGTAATTTAGATCTCAGTTTTGCCAAGTGTAGCATTCCAGAAGATGAATCACAACCACTCCTTTTAACGAATGACCTGCCAGTTAACCGGCTTCTATTAGATGGAGATTTGGCTTAGTTTTGGACAATACATTAGGGTTTAGTTCACCTTCTATATACACACACTGGGTTGCTCTAACAACTGGGGAGCCCCAAAGGTATGTTCTCCATTTGGCATATGTGGCTATTTTCCCCAAACCACACCCACCTTCCCCACACCTGGCATTATATGTGACATCAGGTGTGGTGCAGGCAGAGGCACAGCTGGGGGGCAGATCCCAGCAGAAAGCAGGACTGAACTCCCTGCCCATCAGCTGATGCATGGGGAAGTTTTCCTCTGCCTGAATCCTCCACAGAGCAGATTTGAATCCCCTGCCCCTCAGGTAATGCACAGGGGCCCAAAAGGGTCCTCAACCCAGACCAATTGTACAATAGCCACTGTTTCTTCATGCATAAGATGCTGCACGCTACAGAGAAGTGAAATATTCTGTGTCCACAAACAGGGCATGCAGTCTTGATAAACCTTTTTAATCAAGGGGTTCATTAATTGGGGAGGGGCTAGAAAGTGCAGATAGATTATAAAAGCAGGCTTTGCCCTAACGTAAGGAGGGGGGACGCGGGTGGCGCTGTGGGTTAAACCACTGATCAGAAGGTCAGCGGTTCGAATCCCCGCGACAGGGTGAGCTCCCGTTGCTTGGTCCCTGCTCCTGCCAACCTAGCAGTTCAAAAGCACCTCAAAGTGAAAGTAGATAAATAGGTACCACTCCAGCGGGAAGGTAAACGGGTTTCCATGCGCTGCTCTGGTTCGCCAGAAGCAGCTTAGTCATGCTGGCCACATGACCCGGAAGCTGTACGCCGGCTCCCTTGGCCAGTAAAGCGAGATGAGCACCGCAACCCCAGAGTCGGTCACGACTGCACCTAATGGTCAGGGTTCCTTTACCTTTAAGGAGGGGGGGGGTATGCTGCCTTAGATGGCTTGCAGAGTCAGAATTTTGGAAAAGTGAGAGTAGAGCACACTAACCTTCGCTACGGTACAACTGATATATTGCTCTAAGATGATATCCTAACTAAACACTTTTCCAAGATTTTCCAGGATATTTAAAGCCACAATCTCAAAGCACTCAGGAATAACTGGAAATACTAGTTTGGTGCGTACACACACACACACACACACACACACACACACTGAATAATCCATGCAAAGGACAACCATG